TCTTCACATCTCTCTGAATATAGAGATATCCCTGTCATGTGCTCCAGGGTACAGCTGTCAATCACCATGTGACAGAAATGGGGGAAAACTGGTGCATGAGTCAATTAATATTCAGAGTGGATCTACATTTAGTCCACAAGTGCAGGAGTAGGAGTAGGAGGGGCACTGGAAGGATGAAGCAGGGATGAAGGGGGACTTTGATGATGTCCTTAAATTTCAAACGTGGAAACTTATAATGCAAATGATGCCATTATTATGCTTCTAAGGTTATTCAAATGTTATACCAACAGACAATGACTTAATTATCTGGAAGCAGAAATAGTTTGTAACAAATGGCAAGCTCTATACATATTTGACACTACCTACTTAGGCATATTATGTTCTTCCCATTTTACTTATAATTTAAAATATGATTGAAATTATAATTAAAATAAATTTACCACAGATTTACACTGATTCAATCCTACCTTTAGCACATCTGCAAATAAAACAACAACAAAAAACTCATTTTGCAATACAAATGAATCACGTTGACCAACAAATACTCACCAGAGTTTGCTGGTACTGAAGCACGCGCTGGGGCGCTCGGTCACGCGCCATAACCTTGAATGCAGCGGGAATTAATTTTTAAACGCGATACTATATTCCCAGACTCCACAAGATCACCTCTGCATCACCGGGACGAAATTCAACAAGCAGCATGAACTGAGTAACAGGTCCTTCTCCGCAGAAAACAGCCCAGCAGCTCATCCAGCTGTCGAATGAACTATTCCCTCTTCCTGCGCGCGCGCGCTGTAATGTATGCCATAACGCGCTGACAACCCGCGTTGTGTGGGAAGACAGGGGTTACTACACTTCATACCTGTTGACTAGATTGTTAAAAATCAATAGATATTTCTGCTGCTGTGTGAGTAATCGCTGTTTTGCACTACGTGAACTAAGGCACTTAACGGGTAGATTGCATACTCCACCAATCTGCTGTTATTACAAGGATTAAATGAACCGTAACAACGTAGGTACATGTATCTTAGTTTCAGTACAAATTGTGTTGTTTTTTAATGAAACAATATGCCAAATTGCTACTGATTAAGCTTGATTATTTTTTAATTTAACCAACTGAAAAAATGATTCTTTAAGAAGTGTTCCCTGAAAGGTTCCTTTGGGAACGAAAATCGGTTCTTCTATGACAGTATTGCAAAATCCCTCCAGTGGGACATGTGTTTTTAGGTATACAAAGGTTGGACATAATTAAAACCTTTATATTTAACATTGTGGAGAAAAACAGCATCAACCAAACCCTTATTTTTCGTACCTTTACTTTCACCATGCATCTGTTGACCTTTCTATTAACACATACAAACTGATCTGTATCGACACAGAACATTCTCACTTCAGAAACCTGCGGAGAACCAGTGACCAGTTGATCACACTGTTGATTAATATCACTTGATTACAGTAGATACTAAATATAGTCACAAGCTGGAAGGCTGCATTTCAAGCCCAGTCCACAAGCAAGAGATGAAAGACAGAATTCCTTGGAGAGACAGAAAGAAACCAATAGGTTGTTAAACAGATTTCCCTACAGGGATAGAAACTGGTAGGCTGCATTTGGGCTCAGTAACAGGTCCATTGCCAGCTCAGGGAACAGCAGGGCCACAGGCTGGGATGAAAAATGAATGTATCACTGTGAATTCTGACAGTTTTCTCGCAATACTGCAGTGTTTTTGTGTATACATGTTCATGCTCTCTCTCTCTCTCTCTCTCTCTCTCTCTCTCTCTCCTCTGTGCATACTCATGCATACAGACCTAACTCAAAAACCCTGTCTCTGCTTTTATACTGATAGAAATGTCATGTCTTTGTGTGTCCAGTTGTCTGTCCCCAAAAAGATTACTGCAAAGTACACTGTCATATCTAGTAATCTGGATCACTAGTTAACAGCTCTTCACAGACATAAGCCACTTCTCCACAAAAGGATGGCTCGTGTATTTAAAACCAGTACAATTTCCTCTTTCTCAGTGAATCACAAAAGAAAAGATGTAAAAAATTGGATTTTGAAACTAAACATGTAAATACGGTGAATAAAAATTGAAGTAGTACAGCGTTATTTAAACCACAGTGTTCTTCAAAATACCTTCTACAGAAAAATTATAGGTCTAGAAATTATATATTTTTGGATGAACTATATAGTTTTAATACATAGAAATACACAAAATACCTTCTTTCTTTATGTCTTTATACATCAAATAACATAACTTATGTTCATGCTCAACATTACACACATCACACGAAGATGTATTGGACAGGTGAGCACTTGATGCAAATTCTTTGAACTGGGTGTTCCAACGCCCTCAGCACTAACACACTGACCCAGTTCAGTGCATCCTTCACAAAACTTTCTGTAATGTTCTTTTAATGAAGTGTGGAAGAGCTCAACAGAACATCTTGTTCATTGACAATTTAAATATGGGTCTGGGTGAGAAAATAAGAGGCTGATCCGTAGTGGGGGTGTGAAACAAGGGTCGATGTTAGATTACATGCAAATACATTATCATCCCAGATAGGGAATAAAACCCAGTGTGCATTGATCAAAATAGCATGTGGCTGTTTTCTGGTCAATACCGGTCTGGCTGCAACAAAAGTGGCTCATTTAAAATCCTATCAGTTTGAACATACAGTTTAACATGCAAGGAAACTACATTGCTTTTCAGTCATTTAAACAAAAAAGAAAGAATGATAAACGTTTTTTTAACTCGTTATTAATATTAATTAATTAAAAAGCTTTTGAAAATGAAATAAAATAACACTATATTAAAATAAAAATAATGTAAGTTGTTTTTACTGTAAAATATTGTTGATACATTATTTTATTAATCTTTCACACAGAATATAATTAATATAGTTTTTTATTATTTTTTATTTTGTTATTTACTGTAATTAAAATAGTTTGGAATTTGTTGAGATTTCTTTTATCAAATTTTTTTTCCTCCCATTTTTGTTTTTAGTTATAAGCAAGGGGGTGATTTAACTACCAGTCTTGTAATGTTTACTGCACTACAGTGTCATGCTGCCCTGATGGTGTTTTCTGTTGTGTGGGCAATACTGCTCTGCCTTCAACTTATTATTAGTCACTGTTGCTGGAGAGGCCAATGTTGCTGAACTTTAAGTCATCGTGTGGCCTTCTAGTGTACCATCTGTAGTTAATCATGACAGTTTACTGCAACAGACAAGATCTAAGAGCTCAAATCGGTTAATAGTAATCATTTTATGGCATTTAAGAATTACTACCCACAAAACCTTAAATTTCTATTTTGTAAAAAAAATAGATTTAAAAGTGATCTGAATAAATCAGCTTTCCATTGACGTAGAAGTCAGAATTATTAACCCCCCTGAATTGTTAGCCCCCGTTTGTTTTCCCACAATTTCTTTTTAACAGAGAGATTTTTTTTCAACACATTTCTAAACATAATAGTTTTAATAACTCATTTCTAATGTCTGATTTATTTAATCTTTGCCATGATGACTGTAAATAATATTTGACTAGATATTTTTAAAGACACTTAAAGTGACATTTAAAGGCTTAACTAGGTTAATTAGGTTAAATAGGCAGGATAGGGTAATTAGGCAAGTTGTTGTATAACGATTGTTTGTTCAGTGGACTATTGAAAAAAATAGCTTAAAGGGGCTAATTATATTGACTATAAATTTTTTTTTTTTAATTAAAAACTGCTTTCATTTTAGCAAATAATAAATAAAATAAAAATAATAATAAAAATAAATATAAATAAATAAATAAATAAGACTTTCTCCAGAAGAAAAAATATTTTCGGACATAATGTGAAAATTTCTATGCTTGGTTAAACATAATTTGGGAAATATATTTTATAAAATAGGGGTGGGGGGTGGGGGAGTACTAATAATTCTGATTTCAACTGTATGTGGTTAAGATAGGACAATATTTAGCTGAGATACAACTATTCAAATTCTAAAACATCTAAAAAATGTAAGTGAAAATATCAAAGTTGTCCAAATTAAGTTCTTAGCAGTGCACAATACTATTCAAAAATATGTTTGGATATATTTATAGTAGGACATTTACAAAATGTCATTGTGAAAGATGATCTTTGCATATATTCTAATGATTTTTGGTATAAAGTAAATGTCGAATATATAAAAGACTGGGTTTTGTGGTCCAGGGTCACAAATATTATTTAAATATGGTCCTTAATGCGCCATCATTATATTTTATAGCAAAGTTCCAATGAACACAGCTGTTATTTTTACAATATATACACATTATAACCTTTTTTCAAAGTAAATTTAAAGTAAATTGACTTGGCAGCAACTGAGCACCACATTTAGCAAATCAATCAGAAGATAAAGTTTCTCTCCAACTTATGTGATTTTGCCCTCTTATGAATGCAGTAAACTCCTACATTTCCAAATTCAACAGAATTGATCATTTAAGATGGAGTTATCTAATTCTGTTTTGAATTGTGTGAATGAAAATATCAATATATATATATATATATATATATATATATATATATATATATATATATATATATATATATATATATTTTTTTTTTTTTTTTTTTGCGCTTCAGGTTACTCAAACGCCAAGAAAGGACCTTGAAGGGACATTGGATCTACATTTATAAATGACTGAATCCACAGGATATCTTGACATGGATATCATCTTACACTCAGCCGGTCTGACAACATTGTGCCTATTTGTCCTCATTAGACAATCTAGACAAGAATCAGGCGTACATGTTCAACTCCCTGCACGAATAACACTGTGCCCTTGAGCCCCACATGAAAACCAAGTCGATTAAATGCCCCTCAGAATAAGAAAGGCACGCAAAAAAAGCTTTAAAGAGGCGATCGGATTGCTCTGACGGCAGTTGGCTGACTTCTGAAGCTCTTTAACAGCGCAGTTTATCAGCAGCAATATTGGACAGCTTAACAGGTTGCTATTTCGTCTTTGGCGGCTACTTACATTTTTCCGCGCCGGCTTTTAGTCTTGATAAGAGCTCCTCTTGAACGCAACAGTCCAAACGTCACCTACGCCGCTCCATTTAATGACGCAAAAAATGTCAGAAATCCCCACACAATTAGAGTAACGCAATCACAATCGAGTAATGACGTCAGTGGTGTTTGGTTTCCCAATTGTTCGTCTAGACGATCGAGATACTTTCTGTGTAATTGTCCTCGCCGGTAAAATGCCAGTGCCCTGTTGCTGGTGCCTCTCGCTCGTCTTTAAATTCGCCTCAGCCTGGAAACTAAAGTCAAAAAAAGAAGAGGGAAAAAAGCCGAGCGCCTTCCTTAACACACACTTGAAGGTGTTAATGCATCACCTAAACTGTCCGGATTAGTGTGCACTGCACGCGCTGATAGGTAAAGGAGTAATTAAGCCGGCAGAGCCTGGGGCGCGTGCACTGGCCAGGAATTGATTCTGTGATGCAATGCGGGTTCCGTCACTGGTTTAGTGAGAGCGGCTTGACTTCACTTCTGTTCCTATTGCTCGTCATCGATGCCACGCTATGGCGCATTCGTCTTCCTTAGCGCGTTATGCTGATGACATGTTGACAGTTTTAAAGTGAATGCTTTTATTCATTCTGTAGTTTTCAGTATTCAGTAGTCCACTATCTATCTATCTATCTATCTATCTATCTATCTATCTATCTATCTATCTATCTATCTATCTATCTATCTATCTATCTATCTATCTATCTATCTATCTATCTATCTATCTATCTATCTATCTATCTGTCTGTCTGTCTGTCTGTCTGTCTGTCTGTCTGTCTGTCTGTCTGTCTGTCTGTCTGTCTTCTCTTTTCTCTTTCTTCTGCCTATCGATCTATTCATATTTGTCTGTCCATCCATTTTCCAAATATCCATCTGACTGTCTTACACTTTGTTTTGTTCATTCATCCATATATCTATTCATGCATCTCTTTACCACCGATCCCTCCATGGTTTGTTCCATTTACCACTGGATAATTAATGTCTGTCTATATATCTATCTGTCCGTCCGTCCTTCCGTCTATCTATCTATCTATCTATCTATCTATCTATCTATCTATCTATCTATCTATCTATCTATCTATCTATCTATCTATCTATCTATCTATCTATCTATCTATCTATCTATCTATCTATCTATCTATCTATCTATCTATCCACCTTCTATTTTCTCTTTTTTTCTGTCCATTTATCTATTCATGTCTGTCCAGCAATTTTCTAAGCATCCATTTGTTTCTTTCTCTTTGTTCTGTCCGTCCATCCATCCATCCATCCATCCATCCATCCATCCATCCATCCATCCATCCATCCATCCATCCATCCACATCCATCCATCCATCCATCCATCCATCTCTTCAACGTCTTCTCTTTTCTCTTTTTTCCTTCCTTTCTTTCTTTTATTTTCTAAGCATCTATTTGTCTGTTATCCACCACTGCAAAATTAATGTCCATCCATCCATCCATCCATCCATTCATCCATCATCCGTCTGTCTGTCTGTCTGTCTATCCACCTTCTCCTTCTCTTTTCTCTTTTTTTCTGTCCATTCATCTATTCATATTTGTATGTTTGTCCAACAATTTTCTACCATTGTTTTTTTCACTTTGTTATGTCCATCCATCCATGCATCCATCCATCCATCCATCTATCCATCCATCATTCATCCCTTCACCATCTTCTCTTTTATCTTTTTTTCTTTCCTTTCTTTCTTTCTTTCTTTCTTTCATTTTCTAAGAATCTGTCTGTTATCCACCACTGCATAATTAATGTCCATCCATCCATCCATCCATCCATCCATCCATGTATCTATCTATCTATCTATCTATCTATCTATCTATCTATCTATCTATCTATCTATCTATCTATCTATCTATCTATCTATCTATCTATCTATCTATCTATCTATCTATCAATTATCTATGTCTGTCTGTCTGTCTGTTAATTTGGTGGCTGACTTCTAGTAAGTCTAAGATTGTCATTATAATTGTTCGATGGCACAAGCAGGTAGATGATTGCAGACCAAATGAGAAGGCAGGTGGTCATTAAGGCTTGCTGTTGGTTTTTGGAACCTGCTCATTAATCAAACATTGACCATCTTGGACCTGCTTAGACACAAGTTATCATCCACCTAACTCTTATACCACAATTATCCATCCATTCATCCATCCATCCATACGTCCATCCATCAAATTCACCTTCTCTTTTCTCTTTTTTTCTATATCAAAAAGGGGAAGCTGCTTTACCATGGTACATGTTCTCTGTGTATCTGCGATGTTGTAATCATTACTGAAAGCATTTAGACCTTGTCGTGATCACAGCGACTCTAAGGCTTGCACACAAGGCTTTTTGCCCTATCCTGATTTTCACAGCTGTGACTTGTGGGTTGCTGCAGGGTGACTGAGCGGAAGATTGTTTCTCCACTGAGAAAGAGAGAGTGGTGAGATCTTCTAATTTCAGTGCGCGCTAATGTTCAGAACAAACACACTCCTGTATTTAAAAATAACTATCACCATTCCGACTCAGTGCCTCAAATAAACAGTGAATGCACTGTGATCTCCTCATGTTTACAACAATCTGCCAAATCCAAAGACAACAGGTATGCTGCTAGGAAATATATACCTGCCTATACAAGTGACAGGTGTTGTGCTAAAACCGAAAATGTGAAATTAAATTATTAAGAGCTTGTCTTTAGTGGTGTGTGTCTGTGTGTTTATCTGGCAAAGAGAAGTTGGAGCTGAATAAAACAAACATTTATGATAATTCGCAAAGGGACAGAGACACCAGCAGGCTGGTCATGAAAGTAGGCTGTCTGAGCACACTGCTGATTCATACACGCATTTGCTTTCTTTTAGCCCTCAGTGCTTCAAACTTCAGGGATACCTTTGAACACGTTCATATCATTGTGTCGCCATCCAAATAGGAGGACTCATAACATATTTGCTAATAATTAGCTACTAATTACTGTTACATCATTAAAATTGTATTTAAACAGTTTTTCTAATAATTTTGTCTCAGCTAATTTCTCAATAATGATTTTTAATTTGATTTAACACTAAAAATGCAAACAAGTCTCAATAGAAGTTTAACTCTTAATTTTTTTTAATCTAAGGGCTCTATTTGAACCATCTATGCACAAAGTCTAAAGCGCATGCTGCAAAAGCATCAAGAGCAAATGCAAATTGTCATAAATAAACTGGAACAAAAAACAGACACAAAGACATGAAGGTAGTGGTTGTTATATTTATATAGAAATAATTAATTCAAATTATTAATATTAAATATATTAAATTAATAATACAAATATTCAAATATTTTTTGCAACATTTTAATCCTTAACCCTTTTTTTCATATGTAAAGATATTTGTGTATTGCTGTACATCCTGTAGCACTCTGCGCTGGACTTTAGAACAGTTATTAGTTGGTCAATGGCGCATGCTATTTCAGTTCCTCAAAATAGAAACATGCCAACAATACACCTTAACGCACCTCCTTTATAGACCAACATACCCACCCATGAGTCCACAAAGTGGCGCAAATGGCTTTGCTACTTAAACAACGTATTGCAAAATGTGAAAATTAGGATTGCATTGGTCTAAAAACAGCTACAAATCACGCCATACATTTCTTGTATCTTATTGCATCGGGTGTATGATAGGGCCTTAAGTCAGATAAGAGCTTTTACTCTCGCTTTTTTTTTCCTGCTTATTACCTGCTTTTTCTGGGGTCACCACAGCGAAATGAATCTCCAACCTAAATTCTCTGGCAATTGTTTTACATTATAGCTCTTACAGCTTTAGTACAAAGCTTAGTGCTGGTAAACACACACACACACACACACACTCTCCCATTCACACATTATGGCCATATTCAGTTTATCCATAACCTATAGCACATGTTTTTGGACTTTGAGGGAAATTGGAGCACCCAGAGGAAACCCATGTAAACACGGGAGAAAACACTTAGCCACAAGACCTTTTAATTAAAAAAAAAAAAGAAAGAAATAACACTTAAATTCTAGGACCCATTTCACAAGACGTTTATTGGTCATCATAATCCTAAATCCTTGAAAGTTTTTAATATTTAGATTTTTAAAAACCGTATGAACATTTATATGCATTTATGAATATATTATGTCATTTTTGCAGCAAAAATTACAAAATTACAAAAATTTGCATGCAACAAATGTAATTTGTATTTTTTCTGAAAGTCTTGATAACATTATTATGAAGTTTTTCTTTTATTATTTCAGCAAATAGGATTGTATACAATTATTTGTTGTATTTTCTCATTTACTGGGTTTTAAGTTTACCCAACTATAACACCTTCCGCTAATGAGAAACCTGGAAATGTAAAATTGGTCAAATAACATTTGTAACAAAACACAAAATCTTTCAAATTAATGACATTAATGAAATAATTTATAATTTATAATTTGCAGACGTTTGTAAAACATTTCATAGTTTCTTAAGCATGACAATCTAACCTTTAGTTGTAAAATTGAGTTATTATGCAAAATATCTGAATTACAATTCAGTATATAATAAATTAAATTTAAAATTTCTTCTAAAATGAGCAAGCACTTTTTCTCAGGCTTATGTGTAGGTTTAATACTTTTAGTTTTATGGTAAAGAATAAGTTCCTTTAAAAGAAATGCAAAAGTATACTGTAAAAAAATTACAAAAAGCCATCACAACAAAGCTTTTATGTTACTTTAACTTACAACTCCATTGGTTTTCTTAAATTTTCTTACATTTTTTTAAGTTATAAAAAGTTTAACTTAATATTTTAGTCAGTTTGTAAGCTGAGATGACTAGAAAGACCAATTAATTCAACTAAAAAAGTTGAGATGTAAGTTGAGACGACTAGAAAGATCATTTAATTCAACTAAAAAGTAAGGCAGTAATCATTTTGTTTATAGTGTAAACGTATTTAAAATGAAATAGCTAAACAGAAGCAAAGGAGGCTAGGGAAATGCTCATTTTAGAGTAAAAATTCAGATGACACATAGATGTTTTTTACATCTGAACTCTTTACTCGGTTTCTCTGAATTTTGCCATGAACTAATTTCACAATACATTTTATTCCTTAAGTACTGTACATGCAACTGTCTTAATAAATTAAATCTTCTTTACTTGAAAAATAGAATTGTACAAATTATATTTGTATAAAAATACAAGTACTCCACTTAGCTGAGTTCATTTATGCTGAACTGTTGAATGTGTGCAAGGAAAGTTTATTATAAATAATAATTAAACATGACTTTAAATTACATGTAATATCCTACTTTTTAAGTGAAATCTCAGTACTTTGTAACTTCTTACGCACCAAACAATTTATAAATAAAAAAAACTATGCCTTATTTGAATAGCTGTCACACAGGGTATTGATCAAGTAATAAAATATTAACCTGAACTAAATATCTGCGCCTTCAGTGTTTGTTAAGCCAATTCTATTCCCCCCAAAGTCTTATTTGTTTAGAATTGCATAATTATCCGCCACAACTTCAGGGTTACTCTCACTTTTATTTTGGCTTCAGTGTTGTTGAGTCACTGAAGCGACATCAGGGTATGTTCAGAGACGTGATAAAAAACATCCCAGCCGGGAAGGGAACATTCAGAAGTCTGAAAGCGTGGGGGCCATGCACATGATAAAGCTTTCGCGTTACTTCGAAAAAGACGCTCTCCAATGGAAAGCAACGTGACTGGAGATTTCATGTTGTCGCTGGGCATGGATTTAAATAGTAAGTGTCAATGAAGGACGACTTGTTTGTAAAGAAATATTATAACGCGTCTTAAACTTTACGCAGCCTTGCGCAGGAAAACGTGGATGAATTTGAGGTAGCCTAAGTCATTAATCAAATTATAGCATTTTGAAGATTTACAACATATGTACGTTAATACACGTGTATGTGAACAGGAAGTTATTTTATATAATGCCTGCTGTTTGGTGTTTCAAATCAGTTGCCTAAGACATTAGATAATTTATCTGTATACTTATATTATACCTGTATACTTGCAAACAGCACATTAATGAATCAATAACTAAGCAGTACTAATAATCCTGCAAATAACTCGTATGGATGTATTAGAGTAAATGCAACTATATTAATATTAACTACTGGTTTATACCATTTTCTTTTTGGCGTATTATCATTTTTAACAACATTAAATGTTAGCCAATAAAGCATACTTAACAAATTACCGCAAATAGCATGGTTAAACTAGGATCATTGATTTGTGTTTTAACAATTGATAACTGTTTTTCCCCTCATAATACAACCATGGATCTTTTTTTATTAAGGAATGTATGTTTATTTTTGCTAAAAACAAAACATGATTTACTGTATGTTCAGTGGTTTAGATTAAACATGCTTGCTGTGATATTACAACGTAATAACATTCTAGACCCCCAAATATTGCAATGGTGCAATGCCAGTAATGATTTTGTCTCTATGAATTAGCAAAATCATAATTAAGGGGTTCACTCACACATTTAAATATAAATAACAAAATGTAAGCAACATATTACAGTAAAATATTTGAAAATGGCAATCAAGAATTCCTGACAGACATGAATATATTTCACAGTGATATATGAATTTATAATATATGATTATTAGTTAAATCATTTTCAAAGTGTGGTAGACTATTGTTCTTTTTACAACTACTGTCATTTAATATTGCTGAGTCATAACACAAACAGAATTTCTCATTGGATTGATTGTCTTGTAGGAGTGCTGGTTGTAGTTTTCAGCATGGTTGTCTCTGAACTGTCTCACGTTCACACTAGACCAATTGACTTTGTGTGTGACAGCGAGGCCAGGAGAGTGATGAACAAGGTGAAGGATCTACAAGAAGAAAAGGTAAGTCTGTGACATTTATTACAGATGTAAATAATTCCATTGCTTTTCACTAGTCCTAAATCAATGTTTGCATTCTTACCTCACACCAAAGAGATAATGTTACAAGCACAGCTAAGCCATTTAAATTTAGAAACAAAATATGAGCTTAGCTTAGTACTAAAATCAAATCATATCCAATGTGTGTTCAATCCCACATAGAAATCTGATATATGGCAATATATGCAAATTACATATATGACATACAAGTTCATATTTGGATTTCACAAATGTAAAATATGTACAATATGCAACATAATGCAAAAATGGCCATTTTTCAACCTTTTTAATTACAAATATGTACATATGTACAAATGTATTAGCTATAATGTTAGCCATATGTGAAAATATATTTATAATCCCCAGCCACTTTGTTAGGTACACCTTGCTAGTACTGGGCTTGACCATTTTTGCCTTCAGAATTGCTTTAATCCTTCCTGGGGTAGATTTAGCAAGGTACTGGAAGTATTCCTTAGAGATTTTGGTCCATATTGACATGATAGCATCATGCAGTTGCTGCAGATTTGTCGGCTGCACATCCATGATGCGAATCTCCCATTTCACCACATCCCAAAGGTGCTCTATTGGACTGAGATCTGGTGACTGTTGAGGCCATTTAAGTACAGTGAACGCATTGTCATGCTGAAGAAATCAGTTTGAGGTGATGCTTTTCCAATCTCTTTTGTCCAGTTTTGGTGAGCATAGCGAATTGTAGCCTCAGTTTTCTGTTCTTAGCTTACAGGAGTGGCACCTGCTGTGATCTTTTGCTGCTGTAGCCCATCTGCCTCAAGGTTTGATGTGTTGTGCATTCAGAAATGCTCTTCTGCATACTTTGGTTTAACTAATGGTTATTTGAGTTACTGTAGCCTTTCTATCAGCTCAATCCAGTCAATACTCAGACCAGCCCGTCTGCCACCAACAACCATGCCATATCCAAAGTCATTTAAATCAAATTTTTTCCCCATTCTGATGCTCGGTTTAAACTGCAGCAGATCGTCTTGACCATGTCTACATGCCAAAATGCATTGAGTTGCTGCCATGAGATTGGCTGATTACAAATTCGTGTTAACGAGCAGCTGGAAAGGTGTACCTAGTAAAGTGGTCGGTGAGTTTGTGTGTGTGTGTGTCTGTGTGTATATATATATATATATATATATATATATATATATATATATATGTCAGAATTATTAGCCCCCCTTTGAATTGTTTTCTCTTTTTTAAATATTTCCCAAACAATGTTTAACAGAGCAAAGACATTTTCACAGTATGTCTGATAATAATTTTTCTTCTGGAGAAAGTCTTATTTGATTTATTTCGACTAGAATAAAACCAGTTTTAAATTTCTTAAACACAAATAATTTTGTGGACAAAATTATTAGCCCCTTTCAGCAAATTTTTACAGAACAAAACATCATTATACAATAACTTGCCTAATTACCCTAACCTGCCTAGTTAACCTAATTAACTAAATGTGCTTTAAGTTGTTTTGAAGTGTCTTGAAAAATATCTAGTCAAAATAATATTTACTGTCATCATGGCAAAGATAAAATAAAAGAGTTATTAGAGATGAGTTATTAAAACTATTATGATTAGAAATGAAATGTGTTGAAAAAAATCTATCTGTTAAACAGAAAATGGGGAAAAAATCAGGGGGGACTAATAATTCTGTATATATATATATATATATATATATATATATATATATATATATATATATATATATATATATATATATATATATATATATATACAGTTGAAGTCAAAATTAAATGTCTATTGTTGCAATATTGCAATATTTTGAAGTATGTTGCATATATGACATATTTTTAGGGATGCACTATATAACGGCGACCATTTTGTTGTCAGCCAATAAATGCTATTTTTAATGTTATTATTAATGATCTTATGTCAAAATTAGCCCGATATCGTTAAGCTGATAAATTATGTAATTGTACAAAATTGCCTAAATCGTGCATTCGTGGTTTCAACTTGTTCAGACTTGTCTAGTGCACTATAACAGAGCATTCCTCTTTTGGTTGTATCAAAATCTGTCTCCGCTTTGTGTGCATATGCAACACACAGTGACTAGTCTCAAACTCACAGCGGTATATCAAAAACCTTTCATTAATAATTTTTCGCAGTTGACAACAAGAATGATTTTAGAAGTGTTGTCTGATTGACAAGCAGCACCTACGTGTGTTCAAAAAAATCTAAAACGCCAAATGGGATGAAATAGGGGGCATTTTCTAAAGTCATATCAAAAGGCTGATTTATACTTCTGCATCAAGTGAACGTGTATGCTCCAGCGCAGCCTTTGCGTGGTCGCATAGCCCACATGGTTGTTGATGATGCTGACGCGCACCTCTCAAAAACTGCATGTCGCAACGACGCGTAGAGCAAGCTCTGTGATTGGTCAGCTTGGAAGCTCTGATGAGTGTGGGCAGAGGTGAGAGCCACGTGAACAGTTGAATCGAGTGTTTATAAGTGTAGAGTACCGTGAGGGTGCTCCAGATCGAGCCTTTGTTTTGTTTACCTTATGTTTAAAGTTGTTGCACATCCGCGGAATCCAGCCTCAAAATGAGCAACTTTGAGCCACTTGAACATTAAGATTTAGAAAAAACAAAACACCAGCTAAGAAACTCGACACAGAGGAACATAAACACCTATTGCCAGCTAGCGTTTCTGAAGGGTTATTGCAGAGCAACACAAATAGCATGCAGAAGTATAAATGCATATTTTGAAATATTTATTTTTATCGACTAATAAATCAGTTGTCTGGCTTCCAAATCTTAAGAGCTATAGGTTATCCATTTCAGCCAAAAAATCTATATCGCTGCATGCCTAAATATTTTAGATATTTAAAATCTAAATATGAATTTGTTTGTCATATGTGTAATCAGATTTTCCTGAAGTTAAATAAACTCTTTTTTTTCAAGTCAAAAAATTGTGTTTGTAACAAGCGGCATTGTCTATAACCAACTAGTACCAAATCTTGTAGCATTAATAGCTCAGCCATATTAGATATTTAAATCAGTGAGGAGATTATATAAGGGACGGTGGGACTCATTTGTATGTGACAGAAGAAAGACTCTGCATGCATGACCAATAGCTCAAACACATGAAAGAAAGACTTAACAAGAGCCTGGAGGATGAGTGCTGATCGCGTACACTTACTATTCAATGGCTGATGAAAAATGCAAGAGTTGTCAATCTGAATGATCAGTCCAATCAAAATGCGCATAAGCTTGTAACGTTGGCGGTATTGGCACAATTTATTAAAGCTGATAAATTATGGATTATTTCTGCCAGTGGATCCAATTCAGATATGTGCTGCTGCTGGCCATCGAGCTTTTGATTGTCATATTATGTGACATGTTGCACACAGCAAATGGACTTTTTGTTCTATTTTTATTTTTTATTTTTTGTTAGAGAAATGAATAGATGTTGGCAGAACTTGAAGATCTTCATTGTAAAAAAGAAGACTTTAGAATTGCAATTTGCAAAAGATGTTTCCTATGCAGTTTCAGAAAGTAAGATTCTAAAATAAAAACCCTCTGTTCAGTGCATTTGGGTTTTGTAATCAAACATAGAAACATTCATATCACGATTTTTGTTTCACAGCCTATATTTTGGTCATCATCAGTTTCCAAATAAAAAGAGTTACACTGATTAACTTATTGCTATTGACGTCATTCTTCAATGTCAAAAGGGCTCATTTTTGCGATTGTTTTAAAACATCCGATTCAGTTGCCTATGGGAGAAATTACTAATAATAATAAACGTCAGAAAACGGTCAAACTACTTGCTCTCATGTGTTCATGACTATACAGCGAAAGCAGAATAATATAATAAGAAAATGTCAGTTTGCAATATCAGGCAGCATTATGAGCTGTTTTTAATGTCTAAAAATCAATGGAAGTGAATAAAACTTCAAATCTCGAGCCAAAAGGGCTTCAAATGGCCGATCCCGCTTATACACAAAGAATAAGGTCAATATAATGTAGGCAAAATCATTGACCCTCCTGTAAAATGATATTTATTTTTCAAGTATTTTCCAAGTGATGTTTAGCAATAAGAAGATTTTGTTTTCAGCCGTTTGTGAACATACTAGTTTTCAAATTTCTAGTATCTTATTTCTTTCGTCTTTGTCATGACAATGACATTACATTATATTTTACTAGTTATTTGACATTCTGGTGTAAAGTTACAAATTAAAAATACTCAAACTATCAGTCTCACTAATCAGTCTCATGCTCTCCACTTCTCCATGACCACCACAGTAGCTACTCAGGATACGGCCTGGTCCAGGATTTGGAAACCTTGGCATCTCGTCGCTGGTCTTGGATCGAATCAGTGGTGCTGCATAGTCTGAGGGCCTCGGAAAGAGTATCCCCAGGTCGAAATAGAGAATAAAGAGAATATTTAGAGTTGTTGCTGTTCATAGTGTATATAAACAAAATGCAGAAACCTGTGTGGAGCACATTCATGTATCATACCGCTAAGTGATGCACTGAGTGTATGCTTTACTAAACAGATAGGTCTTTTATCTAGTTTTGAACTGTGAGAGTGTGTCTGAGCCTCTGACGTTATCAGGAAGGCTATTCCAGAGTTTAAGAGCCATAAATGAGAAGGCTCGACCTCCTTTACTCGACTTTGCTTTTCTAGGTACTACCATAAGCCCTGAGTTTTGAGATTTTAAAGAGGAAATTGGATTGTAGCGAGACAGAAGGTTGGTTTGATAAAAAGGTTTAAGATTTAAAGTTTTATAGGTAAGAAGCAATATTTTAAATTCAATACGAAACTTAACAGGCAGCCAGTGTAAGGAGGATAAAATTGGGGTGATATGATCATATTTTCTAGACCTGGTAAGAACTCTGGCAGCTGCATTTTGTACTAGCTAAAGTTTATTAATAGAGGATGCTGGGCAGCCATTATATTTGATGTCAGTTGCGGGCCGGAGGGAGAAGGAGGGCGGGATGTAAATTAGACCCCTGCTCTATATGGGGCATGTTTGGATGGACTGGTGCTTTTTTTGTTTTATTTTATTTATTTATTTTTATTTATTTATTTATTTTACTCATTTACTTATTCATTTTTTTCTGTATTTTTTTCTTATCATTTGTAAAAAAAAAGTATTATAGATTGTATAAATGTTTTGTTCTGTTTTGTACTTACTGTATAAAAAACTGTTATGAATATAATATTTAAAAAAAAAAACTAAGTTATACTAATTTTAAGATGCTAGTTATCAGCTTAAAGTTAAAATATCTGTGTTAATTAGGTTGGCAAATTAGGTTAAATAGGCAAGTCATTTGACAAAAGTTGTTTGTTCATTAGCCAATCACAAAATAATAATAATACATTAAAAATACATTTCTTTACACTTATAAACCACTTTTATTCCAGCAAAACTAAAAGAAATAAAACTTTTTTTTTCAAATTTTTTTTTTTTTTCAGAAGAAAACATATTACAGTGAAATACTGTGAAAAATATCCTTGCTCTGTTAAACATCACTTTGAAAATATTTGAAAAAGAATACAAATTTCACAGAAGGGCTAATCATTTTGCCTGTAACTATATAAACAGGAGTGCAAATTTTGAAAAAGTACACAGTTTTACAAAATGATATAAATATTACATGTACTGTAAAACTACTCGAGTTTATTATTAAGCATCAAGATCCACCGTATTTTACCAACATCCAACTTTCTGCCCTTACCACTGTTTTCTATGCTACCCTTCACCTGACTGATATCTGTTTGCATGTTTTTTAGCTGTCATTCTCTGTCTTCCTGAAATTTATTATCCCATTGACGGGACTTGTTTGTTTGACAGTTTGCCGATCTGACTCCTCAGCATCTACATCTCCACTTGTCTATCCACCGGTGAGACATTTGATAGGCTGTGCTTTTTTTTTTGGCCTCCCTTTTACAGGTAATCTGCAGTGGCGTAGACGCTCTCCCCTCTTCTATTCAATTACCATGCATCAGCATTCACAAAGCAACCTGGGAGAGAAAATCAGTGAGTCGTTGAATGCAGCCCACTCCCACACACTCCCTCCATTACAGCATCATCCCACACACTCTTTCAGACACCTGTATGTGCAGGGCTGGGAAGGTTACGTTAACAATGAATTTCACTGCAAATACGTTCTTTAAAAAGTTGTTTGTAATGTATTTCATTAGATTATTCAACAGTTTTTTTTTTACATATTTTGTGATTCATTATTTTTGTTTATGTATTCTTTTAAATGGCATTATGGGACCTTGATATTCCCTCCAACAACTTTTAATGTTGAAAAGCTTGAAAGAGTTATATTTATTTACATTTTTAACAGTTTGAAGTTATATATTGTCTGTATTGGTGTTTTAAATCATGGTACAAAATTCTGGCAATAATCTAGCAGTATTTTGGATGTATATTATTATTTTTATGCAATATATTTACTCTAGCTGCACTAGGGCAGCATGATATTTGAAAAATTTGACATTGCAATATTTTGTCTTTTTGGGATATACAGTTAGGTCCATAAATATTTGGACACTGACACAATTTTTAACATTTTGCCTCTATACACCAACACAATGAGTTTGAAATTAAGCAAACAAGATGTGATTTAACTGCAGTCTGCCAGCTTTAATTCGATGTCAAGCTTTAATTTATTAAATTAATTTAATTTAATATTTAGGCGAGGCAGTGGCTCAGTAGTGCTGTCGCATCACAGCAAGAAGGTCGCTGGGTCGCTGGTTCGAACCTCGGCTCAGTTGGTGTTTCTGTGTGGAGTTTGCATGTTCTCTCTGCCTTCGCATGGGTTTCCTCCAGGTGCTCCGGTTTCCCTCACAGTCCAAAGACATGTGGTACAGGTGAATTGGGTAGGCTAAATTGTCTGTAGTGTATGAGTGTGTGTGTGAATGTGTTTGTGGATGTTTCCCAGAGATGGGTTGCGGCTGGAAGGGCATCCGCTGCATAAAAAACTAAATTAACTGGATAAGCTGGCGGTTCATTCCGCTGTGGCGACCACAGATTAATAAAGGGATTAAGCCGACAAGAAAATGTATGAATGAATGAATGAATGAATTTAATATTTACACCCAAATCAGATGAACGCTGTAGGAATTACAACAGTTGTATATTTGCTTCCCACTTGTTAAGGGTCCAAAGGTAGTTGGACAATTGGCTTATAAGCTGTTCCATGGCCAGGTGTGTGTTACTTTCTCATTATCCCAATTACAATGATCAGAATAAAGGTCCAGAGGTTATTTCAAGTGTGCTATTTGCATTTGGAATCTGTTACTGTCAACTCTCAAGATGAGACCCAAAGAGCTGTCACTATCAGTCAAGCAAACCATTATTAGGCTAAAAAAAAAAAAAAAAAACTCATCAGAGAAATAGCAAGAACATTAGGCATGGCTAAAACAACTGTTTAGAACATTAAAAAGAAAGAATGCACCAGTGAGCTCAGCAACACTAAAAGACACGGAAGACCACAGAAACAACTGTGGTGGATGACCAAAGAATTCTTTCCCTGGTGACGAAAACACCCTTTGACAACAGTTGGACAGATGAAGAACACTCTCCAGGAGGTAGGTGTATTTGAATCAGAGTCAACAATCAAGAGAAGACTTCACCAGAGTAAATACAGAGGGTTTACCACAAGATGTAAACCATTGGTGAGCCTCAAAAACAGAAAGGCTTTTTAAAAAGGCCTTTACATTGCTGGAACAACATCCTGTGGACAGATGAGACCAAGATCAACTTTGTACCAGAGTGATGGGAAGAGATGAGTATGGAGGAGGAAAGTGCTCATGATCCTAAGCAGTGAAGCATGGTGGTAGTAGTGACATGGCATGGGCATGTATGGCTGTCAATGGAGCTGGTTCTCTTGTATTTATTGATGATGTGACAGCTGGCAAAAGCAGCAGGATAAATTCTAAAGTGTTTCGGCCAATATTTTCTGCTAATATTAAGCCAAATACTTCAGAACCTATTGGACGGCGCTTCACAGTACAGATGAAGAATAACCCAAAGCATACTGCAAAAGCAACCAAAGACTTTTTGAAGGGAAAGAAGTGGAATGTTATGCAATGGCCAAGTCAATCACCTGACCTTTGATTGAGCATGTATTTCACTTGCTGTAGACAAAACTGAAGGGAAAATGCCCCAAGAACAAGCAGGAACTGAAGACAGTTGCTGTAGAGGCCTAGCAGGAATGAAACTCAGTGTCTGGTGACGTCTATGCGTTCCAGACTTCAGGCTGTAATTGACTGCAAAGGAATTGCAACCAAGTATTTTAAAATAAAAGTTTGGTTTATGATTATAAATCTGGCCAATTCCTCTTGGACCCTTAAGAAGTAGGAGGCACATATGCAAAACTTGTAATTCTTTTTTTTTCAACTGTTTGTTTAATTTCAAATCCATTGTGCTGCTGTATAGAGCCAAAAATGTTAGAATTTTGTTTATGTCCAAATGTTTATGGACCTAAATGTATATTGCAATGTGAATACAATTTCATCAGATGACTTAAACAGCTTTATTTAGGAAGAAGTCTTCATTTTAGATTGATTGGGGTAATTTTGTAGAGGAGTGAGTCTTGAATAATATACAACAAATAAATTACAAGAATAGATGAATACAATATAGCAAAGATAAAAGTTTTTTTTTTAATTAATTCAATTCAATTCATCTTTATTTCTGTAGCCCTTTTGCAATGGAGATTGTGTCAAAGCAGCTTAACATAGAAGTTTTAGTAAGTTGAAACTGTGAAGGTCCAGTTTTCAGAGTTCAGAGTTAATTCAGTTTAGTTCAGTTCAAAGTGGTTTAAATTTCATTGCTGAAAGTCCAAACACTGAAGAGCAAATCCATCGATCCAAAAACAAAATCTTTTTTTGTTCAGCATAAAAAAGTAACTAAAAGTAACATTTGAAAGGGTAAAATAAAAATAGTAAGTGCAGTTAAATATTTGGGTGAACTATCACTTTAAAAACGCATGATGATAACAGGCTGTCCTCTGCGTCTTAAAAAGTATTAAAAGTTGATAAATCAATTTCGAGTTATTAAATTGTGTATCATTGTTGATTATACATTGTATATGTGTATGCTAGCATTTAATCTGCCAATATTGGGGCACGTTGTATGAAATTGATTAAAATTCTGCTAGATTTGACAACACGCTGCTTTGTGAACGGCAGTAACCATGGTAACACCATCGTTTTTTTTTTTTTTTTGCTGTTCTAAGGGCACCACCTACTAGATTTGCATTTTTATTCAGTATATAAATAATGTTTTAGTGAGGATTAGTTTCTTAAAATCAGTATTTAGTAAATATACTGTAAGTTAAAATGTCGCCAATGTTTACCATTGAAACCCAAAGGGGCAATGAGTTTTAAAATGTGGATTCTTACAATGTAGAGTCTTACAATGTATGAAATTTCACTCTCTGATTCCTGTATGTACCCTGGATAAACTTTTACTCCACTTTGATTAAACCCTGCATAGATTATAATCAACTATATAACTAGGTATAATCCCAACTCAACATTGCATATCCTGCGATGTGACTTGTGCGGATGCACGCATTGAGATATTGATGCTGAAACGATATACCGTGCAGCCCTTAACACAATATTTGACTTCACAATATTTATACACAGCTTTTTAAAATAGATGATTTGGTACCATTACATTGTACTTATTTTATCTTTTAGGAAACAGTTGGGGCAGTTAAATGAAAGCAAAAGCATTCCAAACTTTAGACTCCCTGCTTTTAATGCATTGTTTATTCGTTGATTGCCAGTAAATGCTTCCATTTTTAGTGAGTGTTACATAATTCCCTTAAAGCGATAGTTCACCAATAATTTATTTACTCACCATTTTTCCAAACCTCTTTCAGTTTCTTTCTTTTGTTAAACACACAAGAGGATATTTTGAAGAAAGCTGGAAACTAATCATTGACATCCATAGTAGGGCTGCACAATATATTGTTTCAGCATCGATATCACAATGTGTCAATTTGCAATAGTCACATCACAGTCAATACAATGTCAAGTTGGGATTATAGCATCATAGTTCAGAACATGTGAGTCATTACAAACTTTAACCCTAATATAGATCGAAGGAATTTCATTTGCATGTGTTTTTAGGACCTGTGACTGTGTACGATGTAATCACATTACAAGCAAGAGGTTATAAAGGTATATAAACCAAAATAGATTGTATTTAATTATTTATACAATGATGACTCTACACCATAGGTCTCAAACTCAGTTCCTGGAGTGCCGCAGCTCTGCATAGTTTAGCTCCAAACACCTCCTACTTACACCTGCTTAAAAGTCTGTAGTAGTTTTGAACACCTTGATTAGTTGGATCAGTTGTGTTTTAATAGGGTTGGAGCAAAACTGTGCAGAGCTGCGGCCCTCCTTGGAATTAATTCCAAATAGTTATTTATACAAGATCTTATGAAATTATATTCATATTACAATATATATTGCAGACAAGCTAAATATCACAATATCAGTTTTTGTCTAATATTGTGCAGCCCTAATCCATAGTATTTGTTTTTCCTGCAATAGAAATCAATGATAACACGTTTTTAAGCTTTCTTTAAAATATCTTAATTTGTGTTTAACAGAAGAAAAAGCTAATAGGTTAATATCCACTTAAAGGTGAGCAAATAGTGAGTAACTTTTAATTTTTGGGGGAACTATCTCTTTAACTGTCCTTTGTGCGGAATTATGGATGTCAGAATCACAGTCACTGTTGGAAACTGTTAAAATATAAAAAAAGACGCTGTGAATTTTTCTGAACAACAGAAGGCAGTTTAACTGATCAGGACAAACAAGAGACTCACTAAAATCTATCAAAAAGAGTTGTGGATTGAGAAAATAAAGATTCAAGGGTATTTACATCTTTGAACATGGTCATTTTTAGAAATCTCTTTTATTTTAAATTTGAAATAATAATTTATTCCAGTGTGAAATAATTCACATTAAAACATACAAGTAATCTTTTTGGTAAATGTTTTTAGATAGATCTGCAATTTGATTACCACCCATTTAAGATATATCTGCAATAAGATAAAGCTTATCAGGATTTATATTTTAAAAACATAATTAAGCACACTATAAAAAATGCAGGCTTCCACACAGTTCATTCACAATCGATTAAGTTAACGTAACAAGTTTCAGTGAATTGAACAGAAAACAATTAAGTTCACCCTTAAAAAAAATCTCAAGAAAAATGTTGCTTCAGCTCATTTTAAAGGGGCACCTATTTTCCCCTATTTACTAGATGTAAGATACGCATTTGTTGTCTCCAGAATGTGTCTGTAAAGTTTCAGCTCAAAATACCCGTAAGATTATTCATTATTATTTCTTCAAGAATTTGCCCATTTTGTGTCTGAGTACGGTGTAGCTGTTTTTGTAGCCTGCGGCTTTAAATGCAAATGAGCTGCTTCTCCCCGCCTACTGTTCCCTTGTGCATGTCTGCTTCTCCTGTTACATCAGATAAACAGCAGTCAGTGACAGACAGACACAGATCAAGCTGAAATACAGCTCATAAGTCAAAAATACCAATTAAGTTTATTTCATGTATTTGTAGTGGAGTTTATTTAAGAATTTATGTATTGATGAGTCTTACACAAATGCTGTTTGCCGTACACACACAAACACACACACACACACATTAGCATTTAATGACACCACATGGCTGTGGTGATTTTAGATTATTATAGATTATTATAAAAATCACAGAGAGTTGAAACTATTTTTCCCCAGTTTTTTTGCAAATAAATTGTTCTGTAGACATGTGTACATGTTGTTATAGAAACATGGTTCCTGTCAATCAATTGTTGGGTGGGGAAAACCACATTTCTACATCACGTTGTGATGGGCCTTTCGCTGGTATTTAGGTCCTATTTTAACGTTAGGAAATAAAAAAAAGAGACTTTTTGGGTTTATATCCCTGCAGTATGACAGCGGACACACTATACATACAGACAGTTCTGTTTAAACAGCTTACAAAAGATGATTTTTATTATAGGTGCCTTTTAAACAAGTTGTTTGAACAATACGCAAAACCATTTTTTGAGTGTATTGTGCTACTCCCCAATCCTCTGTATGTGTGTTCCAGGTACAGGAGCGCAGGGCCGAGATCCTGCTGTCTTTGGGGACTCTAGCGCAGGATGTTCGGTCTGCCAGGACACTCAGCCAACCTGGCTGTGGACTCACTCTGCTGAAGCGCTTGGAACACAGTATCAACAACTACCTGTATGTAGTCAGACTGCTCCACGTGGAGGTGAGGACGACCAGTTCAACCTTGTGCTGCAGCACAGATAGATATTGGCACTAAGATTCACTGCACACAGATAGATTGCCAGCCTCTTAGGAATTTGCAGTCTCACATCAGAAGTGATATTGACTTGAAGAATGAATAATGAAGGCTTAAGAGTTACCAGAGGTCTGACCTTGCAAAAATAATAAACAGCTTACTGTGGATATAGTTTTGTCATGTTTAGCAAATGTTCATGAAAATATAAATATAGAAATTAAATAATGGACATGATTATTGTTAGGCCTGACTGCTACATCAGACCCTAATAAATAAACAAATTAATTAAATATAGCTAACAGAACATAAAGAATATATAATAATTCACATAGTGATTTAATTACTAAAATGAATATAGTTAAGCCTGTTTGCGAGATCTTACCCTATTAAACAAATAAAATCTAATGTAAATATAATTTATTAATATTTATTATATTAATATTAATAACATTTGCAAACATTCAACAATCCAGAAAATACAATACAGTATATATTCAATATATTTGTATATGTAATGCATGTTTATTTTCTGCAGGGTCAGATGATGTAGTAAAATTATATAGTGTAGTATGATAATTTACTACTACAAATATATGACTTGTGTTGCTTGTTTAAACTACTTATTAAAAATGAGTTAATATAACACCATTTTTAAGTTTTCTATCAAACAACTTATAGACTCATTTTCAAAATGTAGCCCTATATACATTTCTGGAGATCTTGAATTATGTAGCCAGAAGTTTGTATGGCTGCATTTTATTTTTAAAACGAATGCTACGATCCGATATGACGCAGTTTCTTTTTCTGCTGACCACCTGCTGACCACTTACCTCCGTATGGACGGCTTCAGTGCGTAATTCGTAAATTAATAATTCCTGGAACAAAACCAGGAAATAAAAGTTACCGTGCCCCACCACAAAACTACCCAAGGATGTAAAGGTGTTGTGCATGAAAGTAGAGAGCGGGGATGTGGCGGGTTGTCGTGGAGGAAAGTGAAGAGCGGAGGTCATTGGATGGCGAAGGGGTATCACGGACGAAAGTGAAGAGGGTAGGGGAGTTGTGGAAAAAAGTGGAAGTGAACATCGGACAGTGGAGGAGGGTGGTTGAAGAGGGGGATTGGTAAAATAAGGTGCCGGATTAGATTTCAGAGGTGCCGGATACTGATACTGCATGTTCCGGCACAAATTAAACCCTGATCATGGATAATAAAAACATGTAGCAACAAACATAAATCGTATGAACAGCATCTATTCAGTTAACTTTACTATAATGTGCCAAGTGAAAAACAAATATTTAAATTAAATGACTTAGTCTAATATTCAAGAAGGGCCCACAGTTACCTGTCATGTTTTCTGGCTGACTTAAGATTGCTTTGCGTCTGTCTCCTGCTATCCTTCTGATTCATTTGCATAGTTTCATCTTCTTGAGATCTCTCTTAATCAGGCTCATTCTGAGATTTACTTGTGGTTTTAAAAAAATTGAAAATATGCATGACTGCCTTTGTGGCATTTTGAAAATACAAATATTATTAAGTTTGACCACTGTGCCACTATTTATTTTCGCTGCTCATTGTGCACGAAATAACAATCACCAACCAATAAGAGTGATTGTAAATATAAGAAAGCTGTTTGTCTGTAAATATTGTTGAGGGCCAATAGTGTTGCTTTAACTTGAGTATTGGTGACTACCGTCATGTGTGCGCACATACACAATCCACACAGCCTTCATCTGAATTCACATTCTCTCTCTCTCTCTCTCTCGCTCTGTCTCTCTCTCTCTTTCTCTCTTACACACACACACACACGCACACATACACACACATAGGTATTCACTGCACACAAGTTAATGCCGGATCCATTAAAATAAATGCTGGAATGCAAAACACGAATATCGGACATTTTCCGGAACAGGATCCGGCAAGATCCGGCTCAAATTAAGCACTGGAAGACTTTACCACTGTTACAAGTTTGTCCAGTGGCTCGCCATGTATGTCGGCACACTTAAAATGCAGTGAGCAGTTGACCGCAACAACTGGGTTTGAGTAAGTTTTTTTTTGGGTTACTTTTTAAAACTGTCGGTTGGGTTTAGGGACGTGGGTGGGTGGGTCAATCAGTCAGTCAGTCAGTCGGTTGACAGCAGCCTCTGGTAGATTTACGCGAGAAGAGCAGGCACGAATGGCAATCGTGAGAGAAATTTGAGATCTGAAAAAGTGTACACAGCGGCCTCTGGTGGATTCTTGAAAAAACGTATTTGGTGTTCTCCAGAAATGTATCTAGCGTTACATTTTCAGAATGAGCCTGGGTTGATATATATATTTATATATACATTTTAAGACTTGATAACTTGTTTAAAACAAAACAATAATATTTTTCTAACACCTAATGTACTGTATAAAACATTATAGATATGTATATATATATTTGTTGAGTGAACAGGTGACATTTCTAATCAATGGAATTTTCCCTATATTTAAATGTGACTGTGGGACTACGTAGATCTCAAAGAAAATATCCTGTCTTCCCGGAATCTTTGTTGATTTGTCACGTCATTTCGGTGACTTTGACTCCAGGTGACCTCTGCCTTCCTTTCCCAGGAAAGAAGGGGAGATAGCGACACATATTTGACCCGTGAGAAGAATGGGAAAATGGTGCTCTCTAAAGTGCATTACAGCATATGCCTTGCTGATAAAATATACATACCGGGCCACTCCTAGATTAAAGCACGTACTGTAGAAGTGATGCTACGCTGCAGTTTTGCTTATTTCTGATGGATCTGCAAAACATAATTATCCATTGGGCACCATGAATTCCAAACAACATCAACAAAAACACATTAAAAATGCAAATGGATCTGATGTCAGTTGACTACTTTGATGTTAAAAAAAATCAAATTGACTATTTATCGTCCTGTAACATATTTTTTTACTAATTTTAGATGTCAATTTGTTGTCATTAAGGTACTTTACATACATTGTAGGGGTACAACATATAGTGTAAGATTGTAATTCGGAATTTATGCGTTTAGATGAATGAAATGTTTCTTGTATTATAATATGTCATTATTTAGGTGGTCTAAAGGACATCACTGTATGGATGTCAAATAGATGTCACGGTCTAGATATACAAATGATTTGCATTTTTTGACATGTTTTTTGATGTTGTTTTGACATTAAGGTTATTAACATACATTGTACGGAGGTGAAATCCAATGTAAGCTTGTAATTTAGAATTTAAACTTTCAGATAAATAAAAATATTGCTTTTATTAAAATACTTATTGTGCCATTATTTTGGAGGTAAAAATGGGGCATCAATGTATGGATGTCAAATAGACTTCAAGGTTTGACGTCTATTTCTACAATTGATTTACATTTTTGACAAGTTTTTTGATGTCGTTTTGACACCAAGGTTGTTTACATACATTGTAGGGATACAAAATTGAGTGTAAAATTGTAATTCAGAATCTAAGCTTTCAGACGAATAAAACATTTATTATTATATTATAATACTTGATGTCTGATTACTTTGGAGGTTAAAAGAGCATCGAGGTGTGGATGTCAAATGGACATCCAGGTTTTGACATCCAATTTATGTGTATTTTTAACATGTATATTTTGTATGCTTTTTGATGTCGTTTTGACATCAAAGTATTCACTTGCTAACCTACTTCATGTCCAAATCAAATATGATGTTTACAATGATCACAACAATTAATTTGATCATTGATTTCTATAAAAAAAACAGCTAAATATTTTCTGTTTTTAACCGTGCTCACCGTTTCTAGCTTGAACATTATTTTCTGTATTTTGTCCAGCAGGGGGAGCAGGAAGGGCCAGCGGTAGAGAGGTGTCTGGGTCAGCCCTCGAAGGATTTGGGTTTGGTGCTGAAGTACTTTGGGCTTCTGCTCACAGGCAAGCTAGAGTTGCTCATTGCAGAGATGGCAAAATGGTGCTAGACAGAAAAAAAAGTTCTCATCTTGGCCTTTGTTCAACCCTGTATAATGGGACCAGGCAGACCCAATCAATTTTAACGATGGCGCTTCTTCAAGACAATGGAGGGCAATGCACTTTGCCAGAGACCAGACTTACACAGAGAAAAAAAGTACACAATGTGTAAATGAATACACTGTGCCATCTACTGGATTATATCTGAACTGACTCACCTGTTGAGACGCACCCATTGGACTTATACAACAGACAAACTGTTCTGAAGTAAAAACCGGTGAGTCCTCAGTGCTATTTTATATAACAGATTGTATTTATTTATTTTATTAATTGACTCTGCTAATACAGAAGACCTCTGGACGCAAATAAACAGAGCAGGATGCACAGCATATTGCAGAGGTAAATGAAAGTCACTTTACATAGCACTCCTAGTTATAATTATAGATTTTTTTTTTTGTATATTTCAGTAGGACATATGATCAAATGCAGATTTTATTGCATTGGGATGCTGATGCAGTTGGATGATGTATAAATATTTTAACCACTAAATACCTTTCTGTGTTTATTATGCATTGTCATTCTCTAACTTTGATGCCAAGCTCAGTTTTGTAAAAAAATATAGTTTGTATTGGTGAATGTATATCTACATATTTAAATATATTTTCATAAAATGTCTTGTTTGGATTTGCCTGAATAGTTCTTTCATTTTAGTGTATTTTAACTTATGGATATTTACTTATGTCTTATGGATGATAAAGTTTTATAATAAAGTTTTGAAGTGTGTGTTTCTGTGTGTGTGTGTGTGTGTCTATATATATATATATATATATATATATATATATATATATATATATATATATATATATATATATATATATATATATATATATATATATATATATATATATATATATATATTCAATAATTTCCAAATGACATTTAACAGAGCAGGAAAATACCTGGCAATATTTTTCCTTCTGGAGAAAGTCTTATTTGTGTTATTTCAGTTAGAATAAATGCAGTTTTTAATTTTTTTAAAACCATTTTAAAGTCAATATCATTAGCCACTTTAAGCTATATTTTCTCGATAGTCTACAGAACATACCATCAATGTACAATAACTTGCCTAATTACCCTAACCTGCCTAGTTAACCTAATTAACCAAGTTAAGCCTTTAAATGTCACTTTAAGCTGTATAGAAGTGTCCTGAAAAATATCTAGTCAAATATTATTTACTGTCATCATGCCAAATATAAAATAAATCATTTATTATTGGAAATGAGTTATTAAACTATTATGTTTAGAAATGTGTTGAAAAAATCTTTTCTCCAATAAACAGAAATTGTGGAAAATAAATGGGGGCTAAAAATTACGGTGGCTGATAATTGTGACTAATGATTTCTAAAGGATCAAGTGAAATCGAAGGTTTCAATTAAAAATCTAAAGTATTATTATTATTATTATTATTATTGTAAGGTGTGTTTTGGGAGTCTTTTATTTTATAGTTTAGTCCTGTTTCATGATTGTCATGTGGTCATTTTTCACTTGTTTTGTTCCTGTTGTTTTCCATGTATCATGTGTCATTGCTCTTATTGGTTGTTTCATGCATTTCATATTGTTAGTATTATTAGACTTTTGTAGCTGACTGGCCTATAAGGGATTGTGTGGTGGATATTTGTGAGCTCTGTTATCTTTTGGACTTAAACAAGATGACACTAGACATTTTTCAAATGGGCTTAATGGAATTTATTCATTCTAGGATGTCAATGGGGAAAATCTATTTTTCCTTGGCCCAATGCATAGACTATGTCCTTTTAATGAGTGTTTCCCTTCTCACTGTGTGTAAGGGGTGGGGGGGTGGGGTGGGGGGGTTGGAAGTTCAGGTCATGCCCATCAAGCCAGGGCCACATCATTTCCTGTCTGTAACATTGGGGTTTTTTCATGTCATGCCTGGCACAATAAGGCCTATTAATGCCAAGTCTGCCATTCTGTGATTTTCTCATTTTGTGTCTGCTACATGAGTGTCCTTCACCAGGATGACTACCATGTATCTCCACTTTACAACCCTACACCACAACTTCATTACACCATGCACCTCTTCATGTCATTGCAGCCCAAAAACTTGCTATCACACACTATGTGCCCAGCAGGTATCTGTCTGTCAGTTGCTCTCCCTGTTATTTGAGTTGCCATCCTGTCTTTGCTGCACACAGGTCCACTGATTGTTATTCTGCAGAACCCACTTCAGTCCATGTCTCCACTCCAGAGCATGCTCCAGTCCATGTCTCTGCTTCAGAGTTTGCGCCACACTGGATGCCTGTTCTGCTGGCAGTTCCTAACCCCACAGTCTAGGCCTACCTGTACTCCATGGTCCAGACCAACCTCCACTCCAGAACCTACAGGTTCAACTATGCTGCTTTGGAAGGCTAGGTGGATTTACAGGCTCAGAGAACCAAAAAGGAGCCAGAGGCTCAGCAGACTCTGGCAGAGCCAGTGAGAGTGAGGATCAAGGAGAAACCAAATGGATGTAGGGCTGAGGTGCAGTCAGTTCATGGAGGAGACAGCAATAACTGACAAAGGTGAACGAATGAAGGAGCTTGGCAGCAGACAAAGTCATGACTGACGAAGGTGGAGCTGGAGAGATAGGTGAGCCAGACGGAGCCTGAGGGATGATGACTCACAGTAGAATACACTTCCAAAACTGCAGGGAATACCTGTTCAGAGAGCTGAGGTGCTGCAGAGCCCAGAATTTCTTGTTGGGGCAATGACAGTTAACCAAACTGGAGCCCCAGAACAGGGAGCAATTATGCAGTTAGAGATCTCGGCAGAGCCAAAGACCCAGGGTGGCACAGCTGGTCCATTAGACTGAGGTGTTAATTGCAGGCCTATGGAGCCAAGATGAAGCATGAACTTTTCAATCCAAAGCAAAAATAAAAGAGAGGGTGGAAGGATGGTGGAGCCTGATGGAGCTAAAGTTTTGGAGAGCTGAGGTGCAGTTAGAGGCACACTGTGTTCCATTTGAAGGGCTCAGCCCTATGCCCTCTCTTTCAAGGCAGCCATGATTGTTCTCACTCTGAAGTGCCCATCTGGAGAGTGATGTACACTGTTTGGAACCCACAGACAGTCAGTGGCAAAGAAAGTGTAATGATCGACCAATATGAAGCCTGAGGGATAATGACCCCTGGAAGAATCTGTTTCCTAAACAAGAAAAAATAAACTGCAGGAATAAGCACACAACAATTAAAAAATTCAAGACAAAGAACTGAACTGAAAGAGGGATAGATAGATTCAAACTGATGGGACGAAAAACAAGGGACAGGTGTGACTAAATCAATACTTGCGTCAGAAATCACCTACTACTCTGCAGGTTTTGAATTTAACTGTACTACATCCGCCATTTGGTCATCATTACATGACCTACCCACATCAGCTGCACTGCTTTACTCCTACTTATAAATGTTCTCATGGTGCATCAGGGGATAGCGTAGCATCAATCGGATGTGCACTTTATAATCTTGCCGGAAGTAGTAGGTCATCCGCGTACTTTTCACATACTGTTTTATTAATTCTATGAATTCGGATATACTACTCAGCTCGCATACTGTTTTAGTGTACTATATAGTACGGAAGTATGCTATTTTGGACGCAGCTTCTGCTCATAAGTATAACATTTGAAACCAGGAAGCAGTAAAAAAAAAAAATGGAAAACCAAGTGAAACAAACAAACAATTCACAAAATAGGATATAATTGTTACACAGGAAGCTTAAGAGATTTATGAAAAGTTTTTTTTTTTTATCTTACCAACCGCCATCTTTTAAACATTAGCATCTAATAAGCACATTAAAGCTTCTGAATGTATAGATTGGATAAACAGATGTGTTTTTGGGGATTGCATTATATAAGATGCAAGTAAACAGATTACTTTATTTTAAAATTCTATTGATCTCTTTAACACTTGTCTTTATTATTATTATTATTATTATTATTATTATTATTATTATTATATGCTTTTGGAAAGGTGGTAACTCTGGTATAAAGCGTGCAGCATAAGATATCGCTTTCAGAGATCTGACATGGCACAAGGAGCAATGAATCATAGAGCGTATCTGACCCAGCTACAGTCACAGGGGGAAACCTCACCATCTGGACAGTGGCAGCACACATCAAAAGAGACAAAAACAATTCTTAGTTTCTGTTGAATGTTTGTCTTTGTTTGTATTAGCACTGAGAATAGGTTTTGCTTTTTATAGTTGGGGATAGGGTGTTGTGGTTTCAGAACTGACAATGATTGCAATTGCTGCCCAATTTGCAGTGGTATTATTGGTCTGCCCACCTAGCTAACGCCACCTAATGGTTTTTACCTCAGCAACCATCTTGGGTACAAATAGAATCAACGATAGCAAAAGGGATGGATATGGAGATGTATTTGTACTTCGATTTATATAAAAATGTAAAAAAGACCACTAAAAATCCATTTGTTAAAAACACCTTAACGGTATGGAATGGTGCTCAGTGTTCAAGTCCTAAATCTTTTTTATTTTTTCCCTATTTGGGGAAACAGAGATTTTAAACCAGCAGAAAATAATTTGGGCTTTAAAAAGTGGGCATTAAAAGGTATCAGAAAGATAGGGGACTTATATGAAGTAGATAAACTGTTGTCCTTTAAAGACCTTAATAAAAAATTTGGAATCCTAATGATGCATTTTTTTTAAATACTTAAAAGTTCGCAGCTATATTAGTGTCAAGCAAAACTACTTAATAGACCTCTACAAACTGAATTAGAAAAAAATAATGCTTTATCAGAATTCTATGACAAATTATGATATTAATAATTGGTCAATGGCTCTAAAGAAACATCAGAATCTAAGAAAAATTATTGGTGCACAGATTCACAATATGACCTGACAGATTTAGAAAAGAACCAAATGTGTTAAAGCCTAGAACTTGTCAAATAATACTAGATTTAAAATGATCCAATATAACTGGGCAATGCGGACCTATATCACACCTAAAAAACTAAACAAGTTTAACCCAAAAATTCCAGATATATATTTCAAATTCCAAAAACAAAAAGTAACATTCGGTCCCACTTTATATTAAGTGGCCTTAACTAATATGTACTTACACAGGAATTAATAGTTTGTTACAA